AAAACAAAACCCCCCCAAACAAAAAAAAAAAAAAAAAAAAAAAAAAAAAAAAAAAAAAAAAAAAAAAAAAAAAAAAAAAAAAAAAAAAAAGAGGAACATTATTAATTAAATAGATTTGAAAAATGTGTGCTTCATCATATCTTTGTTAGATTTAAGAGGAGAAATGAATGAATTGCATCCCTTGAATGCATGTCTAACTGCATAGCAAAACTAATGAGGTGAGTGTGTGGACTGACTTTACCGTGTGGCTGAGGCCAACGCTTGCAGTAACAACAGAAAATGGTTGAACTAAAGAACTTATGCATGAGCCATAGTTTTTAGTTTTTTTTCTTCAGCTCATCGTCTTTTACCTTTCCCACTTTGTTGCTCTTTCACGTCAAAATCGCAATAAAATGCAAAGAAGTTTCAAACTGTAGCTTGAAAAAAAACACAAGTTCAAGGAGTATGGACACTTCTGCAAGACGGTAAAATTTATTGTAGGATACAATAAAATTGTACGTGGTTCTTTATCAATTTCTTGAACAGTGACTGTTTTTAAGTCAACTGAACTGAGTCATTTGACCTTTGAAGTATTTTTTTTTTCTAGATGTTTGCTTTGATTGACCTTCTTGATCTGTTTCAGTCTCGCAGCCCATGGTGGAGTTATGAATGTGCTCACAGTCGGGCCGTCAGACTAAAAGCCCTTCATCAGTCACTCTTCTAATCCTGCGCGCCCACGTTATATAAAGTGGCCATCCTAACCCACGTCACGCAGAAAACCTGCTAAACTCCATTTAGGTTTTTTTTTTTTTTGTGGGTTTATTAACTCCTGCTGTGGGAGCCGACTGAACTGCAGCATCATGCTCCTCATCGTGGAACTGCTGCTGATGCTCATCGATGTCACCTACTACATCCTTCGCGCCGTGGTGCGCGTCGTCTTCCATCCCAGGCCGAAGTCCGTCGACGGAGAGCTGTGTCTGATCACGGGAGCCGGGGGGGTTCTGGGTCGCCTCTTCGCCCTGGAGTTCGCCAAAGAGGGGGCGCGCCTCGTCCTGTGGGACTGCGACACGGTTGCCAACGAGCGGACCGCGCAACTGGCTCGGAAGCAGGGCGTGGACGTGCGCGCCTACACGGTGGACCTGTCCAAGCGCCAGAGCGTCTATGACGCTGCGGAGAAGGTGAGAGCGGAGGTCGGGGATGTCTCCATCCTGGTCAACAACGCCGGTGTGGTGGCCGGACGGAGGCTGCTGGAGTGTCCGGACGAGCTTCTGGAGAGGACTCTGCTGGTGAACTGCCACGCGCTGTTTTGGGTAAGCGAGCTTGCGTCTTTTACGCAAACACCCGCGCAACTCCGCGAAACTTCATTCAGAGCGAACACGGCCTGATGTGGATTATGTAACAGACACTCGCTGACCGGGAGGCTGGGGTTAGGCGTTTGTGCAGCAGAGCGTGAAAGGGATCGGATCAGCCTGTACCGCGGGTTTATCGCACAGCATGTCCTGGTCGTAAAATAAAGTCCAGTTAATTAAGTTCTGACTCTTTATAAAGAACGCATATAATTGAGATTTGGTCATCCTATAAGAGAGAGAAAAGAGCCTTGAACATGCGATTCTGCCTTTCCTTAAGCTTCCGTGTCATTGTGATTTAACATGGCAAGCTGATTGGCTTCACAAGATCGAATGCATTGGCGTAAAACAATTTGGCACTGAACTGGTGTTGAGGAGAGTCTCTGTCTGGAGAACAGTACCTGCACTTTGCAAAACGTAAAGTTTGGTGCAGAGGGACCAAATGGTGTTTGACTTCCTTCCAGTGAAAGGAACTAACATGTTGACTCTTTGCTCTGCTAGTGTTACTGATGCATGACAAAAGTGGATAGAAGACCTATAAAACTCATAGAATGGACAAACCAGGCTAAAATTTAGTTTTGGACATCAGCCCTCAATGGACTGCTTTAAATCATGTCACTAGGTTCTTGATCATTGTGTAAATTTCATACATTGAAGCAAATCCCTGTAAAAATGATTCGGCTTAAGGGCAGGCTTTATATTCTCTGTACTGTAATGTTAACCTTTGTCGCATCTTCTTCACCAGACTACAAAAGCCTTCCTGCCTCAGATGAAAGTCAGAAACCACGGCCATATTGTCACTGTTGCTAGTGCTCTTGGCCTGTTCACCACAGCATGTGTAGAGGTGTGCTGCATGATTCGATGTCAAAAAAAATGAAGCTTTACCGGTAAAGGCAATCATGGACCTGAGCAATTTCACTCTCTTGCAGGATTACTGTGCCAGTAAGTTTGGTGCTGTTGGCTTCCACGAGTCCCTGGCACACGAGCTGCGAGTAGAAAACAACGACGGCATCAAAACCACGCTGGTGTGCCCCTACATCGTGGACACGGGGATGTTTTCAGGCTGCGAGATCAGGTGAGAAGCTTCAATGCATCTGACCGATCGCAGTGGAGAAATGTACCCTTTTAATTTCAGCTTCTTTTTTAATTCCTACGCATTTCCCAGGAAAGAGATTCGGAAACTGATTCCTCCACTTGAGCCTCTCTATACGGTCCAGCGATCCATGAAAGCCATCCTGGCCGATCAGGAAATGATCTGCATTCCTCGCATTATTTACGTCCCCTTCATCGCAAGAGCGTGAGTAGCTATGAGCCTTCATCAGTGAGCACGACTGTTTGGGTTGGATGCTGATTGAGGTTTTTGCAGATTGTTGCCTTGGGAGGCCAACGTTGTGGTGTATCGCTTCATGGGAGGCGATAAGTGCATGCTGCCCTTCATCAAGAACGCCGAGACGAAGACCTCATGCGGAGAGAGCCAGGCTTCCTGAGACTTTAACAATGGTGTTTTTCAATGTACTGATGCACATGCCAAAGGCTTTTTTTTCATAATGGTGCATCCAAAAAAGATATGTACAAAGTTTCAAAATAAAGTCTACTTTTAATGCAGTAACTCATTATCCCACTGACTTTTTTTTTTTTTAAGTCCAATATTTTCAGGTGCCAGTTATTCACCTAATACTTTGCAAATCCTTTTTTGCTGAAAGGGCAACTTGAATCATTTTGGATCAGTGTCAAAATCAGAACAGCCCAAATTGTGTGAAACAAATTATTTTGCTACAGTTCAAAGAGCAGTGGAAATACTTTTTACTACTTGCCACTTTATTCACTGTAGATTGTGGCAAGTTAAATATTTGTACTTATCTGACCTAGTAGCAAAAAAAAATTACCCAAATGATTACAAGCTAAAGGCTCCTGAACCCCATGATGCTCAAACAAAATCAGAATAAATGTAAAGTGCACTCGCTGTACAAGTCAAAATGTATGCAATGCAGTCATTTTATCCATCACCATGCAATTAGCTTTTTTTTTTTAGTGCATTTAAACCGTCAACACTGAAAGTTTCAAAGTAAAACAGCAGCGGTGACGGATGTATAGAAGTGTCTTTATTCACATTAAGAAACAGTGCAGGGGGGGAAAAGGACAATGCGACATTTGAGGGAAACATGCAACAGAAATGTGAGTTAGATGCTCGAGCCACAGACTGAAGACACCAGGACCAAAACTAATTGAAACAAACCAAACTGGTAAAGAAATCCCTCCAGTTCTGTTCAGTTGTTCTGCATCTCTACCGATCCAAATTCTTTTGAATGACCAAGGAGAATAAGTTTTGCTTTACCAGCATTTGGTCATGTCTTTAAAAACATTTTGAGAAGATGACCTTTATTCGGGCAAAATGCAGGTTTTTTTCCTCCCGTTAATCCATCACAACTATGGAGTCATTTATTCAGCTGAAGTCGACCAGTCATGTTACTCTGGGGCCACCGTGGCTGCAGTGAACGGTGGCCTCCGACCGAGACGTCCCCATATCCTCGGTTTCAAACCAGCTGCACAGAAGCTCCCTGCAAATATCCATGCAGGAACTTCAGGGCCTCCGCGTTCAGACTAGTGTTCAGCATCGAGGGAACCTGCGGAAAAAACGAACAAAAGGAGGCGACATTTGCTCAATTTTCATTCTGGAAGAATTTTGGAACACATTAGCTATTTGTTACGTTCTCATTCCAGATTTTCTACATGTTTTTCATGTAGAAACTTTGGATGGATCTGAACTTACCCTTCCAGGACAGGCAGTAGAAAGCTTGTGGAGCGACTGGGCCAGCAGGATTTTGGGGTTTCCGACTGCATCTCCGATCGGGTCGTGTTCCTTCCTCCCAGCAAAGGCCAGCTGCGAGAAGGCCGTCTGGTAGCCGGGCGTGTCTTCTATGTCTATGAAATGCTCGTCGTCTGGGATGCTGTCGTCTTCTGGCAACTCAAACAGACCAATCAGAGCCTGGAGCAGCGGGGTCCTGAGGAGAGAATCGGCTTCAACTCCAAATTCATCTTTTTGACAGTCAAATGAGCCATTTTTCTTGGAATCTGCCTTTAATGCAGAACCAGGAAGTTCATTAGAAGCCAATTATAACTGTGACCATGTCTGGTGTTCATTATGGACAGGCTGAGCCCGTCAGCGTTTCTCTGGTTCTTACCAGAGCTTGGTGTACTCTGTGTCCATCATGGCCGGACACTCTGTGAGGATCTTTGTGATGCCGACGGCGCAGATCTTCTTCTCAACAGTTCCAGACACTTTCTGAACCTCTGGAATAATGATTTTCTCCAACACCATCCCAAACATCCTGCAGTTCAAACAGGTTAAAAGAGTTTGACACAAAAACAGAGAGACTCAGTAAAAACGTGTAGACCAAAAAAAAAAAAAAGCATAACATTTACTAGTAAAAGACAGTAAAAGAGATTCATAGACGGCAGATATTACTATGACATAATCAAGACAAAGTGAAAGTTATCCAATTAATACTGACACAAAAAGCTTTTTGATGTATTGTATGAGGGTAATTAAATATTGGCTCAGCTGTAAAGTGACAAACTCTTAGAAACGCAAACAAAAAGATGAGTACGTACTTTGGCTGGATGCTGTCAAAAATCTCCTGAAGAGCAATCGCTCCGTATTTGACACAATATAAGTTGATGAACACTAAGAAACCTTTGACACAGAAAAAAGAAAAACATGAGCTTTTAAGCCGTTTGGGTCAATATCCCTGATTGGAAAAATGAACTGCATTTAAAATCTAGCTACAAGACTGACCTTCATCCACTTGCACTTATACAGGCATGACAGAAATGTTAAATGTAGGTTTTCAGACCTATGCATATAGTTTAGTTGTCTTTATATTTCAGTTTTTATACCAGTAGTTGTCATGAGCATCCCCATTTCTTCAGTGAACCGTAGCATTTTGTGTTTTGGTTTGGTAAAACAAACATGTACTATTTACCCTTAAATCCTTAAATCCCAAAACGGTTCATCTCATAAAACTACAAAAAAAAAAAAAAAAAAAAAAAAATTGTAAAACAAGACAATAAAGTAGCGCCACTCTTTATATAACTGCCAAGACCTATGGAAATCGTTTTTCGTTGCTTTGCATTTTGCATGATTATAGAATAATGCTCTATAAGGACAGCGTGTGATGAATCTCTGCTGCTCCTGCAAATCCAGGGTTTCCCCCAGAAAACTTGCTAAGCCCGGTGGTCGGGCCGTCGAGGCGGTCCCCCGTGTTTTGTTTTAAAAGATGTTAAGTTGATAGGAAATGCAAAAGTATTACTGTGTAATTATATGTTACGGGAAAAGATCTCCA